GCTGTTCAAAAACTTCAGAAGTGGTAGTGTAGAGTTTCTCAAATGTGTATTTGAGGCCTTGGATCTCTGAATTTCTCTATATGAAAGCATAGATGCTTTGTTGTTCATATGCAAATAAAACACCAAGGTTTCTTCTAGGCTTAACTGATTCTGAAATGATTTTCTATATTATCAAGTCCCTAAACATTCTGAAAAATACATGCTATTTAATTCCTCTCATCGGTCTTCTCTCAATGAAAACAGAGATCTTCCAAGAATTAAAGTGTGTTCTTTGGTTTTATTAAGAACCACTTGATAGGCAGTTGCTCATAATACCCAATCAAGTATGAGTAAGAAATGCCAGTGATGTTGTAGTACATATTAAATTCCTTATCCTTTCAGAGACAGTTAAGAAAAAGAGAAACAGATGTTTCTCATTGAGATGACAAGCAATTGCAATTTTCACAACAAATAAGTGCAAAGGGCATTCAGTATATGTTAAAATATCTCGTGTAGCAAATCTCATCATAACTAGGTTGGAAGCTGCTAATTTTGATAGGCTGTTCAATTTGCATGTATCTTTCCCCCTTTAATTTTTTTTAATTCAATGGAGTATGATTATAGTCAATTTTCTTTTTGTTCCTTCCCATTGAGAAACATGCATATTTATAAAATTCCTAATGCCTATGAGGAATGAGTCAATAGCTCTCTATTTCAGGTGCCCCTGAAGAGCTAAGAATTTATGGAATAAATATCCTACTACCACCACCCCCTCCTCCTAGTTAGATTATGTAATAAAGCAAATGCCGAAAGTCAGTGAGAGTTAGATTTACTGCCAGTGCATGCCTCTCATATGTTGTTGGAATGGGCAATTTCTTTTGGGACATAATTTTTCTATAATTTCTCTCTTTATCATTTTCATGTACTATGGGAAGCTCCTATTTTGATGGAAGGGCCTGTGAAATAAGTTGTGGAAAAGTAATCCAAGGCAGAAAGGAAGGAACTTGAGAATCCTGGACAAAGATATATCCGTGTTTGTAAAGTAATTTTTTTTTCAAAGTAATTTTAGAACCTCTTGTAGTCTTGATCAATATCATCTACCAACTTGAAGGCCATGAATTGACTTCACATTTTGACATTGACACTACATTTATACACCAGCTGTAGGTCTGTGGAGTGCCCATAGGCTATTAGGATTAAGAAAGAGAGAGAGAGAGAGAGAGAGAGAAAGAGAGAGAGAGAGAGAAGAATGGAGGGAGGGAGTCAGAGATAGGGAGAGAGAGAGAAACACTGTTGTTGAGAGGTAGAGTGATGACATTTCCAAGGCTTGCAAAGTTGAGAGCTAGAACTGGAGTTGCCCAGGGAAGTCTGAAGTTGATTACCTTAGGGGATTCGGACACCTGAGACAAATTCAGAGCCCATATTACTTGGCAATCAGATCAGTTATGGGCCAGAAGGGATCAGTGTAGACTATGAAGTCCCCAAATATGCTATTACTGTCCTCCTTTTAATCAGTTTGCCAAACTATTTCTTGTGATGATCTAGCTTTAAAGAAACCATCGATAATTTTAACCTGGTTGGAAGCATAGCCATAGGGGATCCACTGCCATTAGGTTATAAAGGTAAAGGTGTGAAGAGTGTTCTATTTTTACATGGCTTTATTTGCTTTGGAAACTCTAGCATAATGTATTCATAACAAAATCTTGAGCTTGAGAGAGATTTCTTTTTGCTTGTGTGTCATAGAAGTCCAAAGATTTCATTCCTAACTCAATTTAAGTCCACCATGTCAAAAGAAATGTATTTGATATTGGAAAGTGAGGAGACTCAAAGCAAAGGATACATAAGGTGACACACAAACATAAAAATTAAAATGGAACATCAAACAGTTATGTTAAAGAATAGCTTAGTGACCCTGGACTCATGATTTGTAACATGCTGTGGTCAATATTTTTTCCTGTGTCAATGGGAGCTCATTAAATGTAAATTCTGCAGTTTAACTGAGCCATGCCATATTAGTGCTTGCCAAAGCTTGACATTTTTAATACATTAATAATATGGCTGTAATGTAATGGAAAACTATTAATCACAACTGGTTATATGCCAGAAATTTAAGCTATAATTGGCTGCTTCTTGTCAGGAATGTCTGTCGCACGATCCAGCATGTGCCTAATATTCAAATATCTTGCACTCCTCTGCATTTTCCCTTGTCAGTGCTCTGAATTCGATCAGTGGTGTAGTCCATAATTCTATGTAATGACCATCATTATAATGCTGGTATACTTTAATGAGAATTCGTTATATTGGGATTGCTGTTGTGTCAGGAGGCAGTAACAGGGCTTATAGGCATTTCCTCAAGTGTCCATCTTGTTCATGGATACATCCAGGGTTCCCTTTTGTTTTGTGGTTGCATTAAGGGAAAGTGTGGAGGAGGACAGAGTAACAAGAGGAAATGGAAGCAGGAGGCGATTTTTATTAGTTAAAAAGAAGAACAATTAAACCTACCACATTTGGGGCTAGTGTCAGGAAGCATGCACATATACACTTAAATACATATTTTTAAAAAGTAGTACATGAACTCAATTCATTATACTCATTCTATTTGAAGTCAAAAGTAGTCCGTCCCAGGTCTTCAGGAATTTATCCTTTTGGGGTAAATAGGTAGTTGTGTATTTCAAACCAAAAATGAAGGTTCATAATTTCCGGTCTAGTAGATCTGACACTGCCTACCTCCTCCAGGAAAAGTGTTTGTTTTCTGCTATACTGAAGTAATAAACACATTTGAGGAAAAAAATGCTTGTCATGAGTGTAAATGTATATTATTTTTAACACCTTTTCAGAATTTTAGTTGTCAAATGATTAGATGTTTCTGACAGTATCAACTTAAAATCACTAATGAAACTGCAAAAAACTCACAACATAAAAAAAACACACAGAAGGCTGTAATAGTCACAACACATGCTTCTCTGGGTTTTGTTTTATTTTTTTCTTTTTAGCTTAAGATTTTAAAAATATGTTCTGCAAAGTATAGTCTTTACATTTCAAGAAAGAAGCAGATTCAAATCTAGTTTATACATGATTAGACAAACTGCTAATTATTGCTTCATGGGAACTCAAATATTCAACAGTCTTCCTAATAGAAAATATCACAAATTGCAGCTGTATGATAACATTTTATGAATTGAATATAATGAAAATTGCACTTGCATCTATAAAGCAATTATTATAAATTACTTTGCTATGGAAACACAATTCAACCATCTGTTGGCATTTCATAGTCTGTGACTTAGTTCATTTTAAGATGGTGCATTATTTAAATATAGTGAATTCCCTTTATAAGATTGTTTGAAGATAGAGAACTTCCATATTTAAATTGGTTAATGTGAATGTAAGGGTCTAGAGTGGAATTTCCCAACACTATAGACATTTTCACCCTTTTGGGTTGATTAAAAAAGTAGTTCATTTAGGGGACTACAAATATAAGGCAACTAATTAAGCAAATCTTTTTAAAAATTCTGGATTCCAAATATTAGTATTTGTTTGGATTTGGATAGTCAACTCAAGGGGAAAAGTTGCCACTAACTCACCAATCACTTTCACCCATGGTTATACAGGCTGCATTGTAAGTTACCCCAGAGCACTGTTAAATAGTAATTTTCATTTTCTCTTAGAATTAGCACCATATTATTCTGCTTCATGGCCTGTTAACTCACACTCAGCTATTTTTATATGTGCATTTTAAATTGTGCATTTTACTACAGAGCTTTTACTTTTAAAGCAGTGTATAATATTCGCCTTTGGGACAATTCTCTTCTGTTTCAGAAAGTAACTGCAAATGCAGATATAATGGCTATAAAAAACATAAAAAATTTAGAAAATTCTTATGAAAGAAAAAATTTACTCTTTTGGTTTTATTTTTTAATACTTTTAAAAAAAACCAGAGAGCCAAGTTATCTTTATCACTAAATACAACTAAACAAAGAGACTAAAGTCTTCTACTATAATGAGCAAATTCTAAAGAACAGGCTTTTCCCAGCAATACTGACTGGTTTTCACTCCAGCTAACAAAAGCTAAGAAAAACCCAAGGAATCTGGAGATTTTAGGGTCTCTTTGCTGAGACACAAAAGGCATGCAAATAGTTGTCATTTCTTTGTCATTATAATAAAAGCACTTATTCCCACATTGTTCTCCTGGAAGACTTTCTAGCACTGCAATGCTTGAGACATGTTTAAATCTAGCAACTTGCTCTTAGTTTTGTCAGGATGGAAACATAATTTTTGAAACCAATACCTATAACTCACCTGGAACACATATATCTGTCTTTGTTAGGGAAGAGTTGAATCCTTCATGTTGGAATTTTCCCCAATGAGCATGATTTCCAGGGTTTGCTCATTCTAGCAAAGAAGCAAAGTTAAGGTTATCCATATTACACCAATTTGCTTTATATTGCATCACACCTCCATAATGCCTGCATATCATACATTTATTCCATAATGCATTGATTCAGGGACAATAACTCTTATTCTTTTTGTTTCTAAAAGGGTGCTGGTGTCAGAAGAAAAGAATGATTGATGGGAAATAAACACCGAGCTACAGATAGTCATCCTTTGGCTTCATCTACTAAGATCTCAGCACATCTGAGCTTCGCTTCTGAGCTGTAAACATTGAGGATCACTCAGGGTTATTGAAGTAAGACAGAAGACCCACCATTTTGCTAATTCATTATCTGCTACTGGATGTCTTTTACAAAAATTAAAGGACACCTGCATCTAATAGCTATGTTCTAAGACAAAGACAAAGCTGCAAGCTATTCCCCCCTTCCACAAGTATGTTAACCTTCCACCAAAATCCTCAGGATTCCCAAGTACGCATGAGTTCTTAAGCCTGCGAATTTGGTTCTGGAGTCTAGTCTGAAGTCTAGACCTCCTTTTTCTTTTTTTCTTTTTATTTTGACTATACAAACCTGCCTACCTAGAAACTTTTATATAGAACTGACACTAATCACAGATAAGCACACTCTGCTTTAGTTTCCACGAAGATTGTAAAGAATTTAGAGATGTATTTGTCAAGATTTCTGTCAATTCACGCCCTTTGGGTTACAGTATCCTCAGTGATGCAGCCCTTCCCTTTGGTATGGGGGCATTATGATGTATGTAAGACTCAGATTTACACAGATGAAGGCAAAGTTTGGGATTACATGGCCTGCCAGCCGGAATCCATGGACATGACCAAATATCTGAAAGTGAAATTGGACCCTCCGGATATTACCTGTGGAGACCCTCCTGAGACATTCTGTGCAATGGTAAGACAACCTTTTTGAGTAGAATAGTTCTCAATATATGCGATGAGTTGTATAAGACTTAAGTATGGTGAATGTAAAGACTCAGTTCATGCAATGAGCTGAAGCTTCAGATAGTTGATGTGTGTTCTAAAGCGATCTTCATTCTCAGTGTGTTCATGGCCTGGAAGTACAACACGCACCATGCGATCTGTGTAATGGAATGTAATTTCTTCCTTGGAACCCAAAATTTATTCTAGTAGGTGCACTGAATATGTTATCAAAAACATTCAGTTTCAGATTGGAGATAGAAAACATGATCAGTTCCTTTTGGCCATGTGTAAGAAAGATTAAAATCTTTTGGGAAACCAAAAATTTAAAAATGTTAGACTTTCAAACAACCATAACATGGCAGTCCAAAGTTCTATACCTGAGACTAGAAACTTATGTGTAGTTAGAAAACCAGTGAAAAGAGTTCTGTGAGAGGGTTTTCAGATGTCATATTTACCAGTTTATGCAATATCTTCTTTTCAACGGTCATAGTTTTGTTGTGGGTACTTGAAAAATGAATGTTGAAATGTTGCAAGATATTTGTTTAAAACTAATGATTTAAGGTATATAAATCTACTCTACTTTTGACAAACAAAGCTACAGTATTCCTTGTTCTGGTGTATATACGAAGTGAAAAGGCAAGAGTGGAGTGAGACATTGCATTTTTGCTAAGGATACAACTGAAATTAAACCTAGAGATATCATTAAAGAGACTGATGTCTAAAATGATGGGCACACAGTGTATTAATTTCGTTTATGCTGTTATCTTGGTTCAAGAACTGTGATCCCATTTTTCTTTATGTACAAATATATTTGTATGGCATATTTTAATAGTATTCTTACCTGATTTTATTATCTTGAACCTGGAATGGTATTTTCAGGAGAGTGAAACTATTAATCAAAGTAGCATCTGTTCCCAGTCCCCCGTGAGTTAAATTAGCATACAACCATCTTAGACCTAGTCCGGTAGAAAGGTTGTGCAACAGGAAACAATTTTGAGCAATAAAGAGTGTTTTCACCTAAAAACCAAAGGCTTGCCATTTTTCAGAAATGCCTTTGGGGACCTCTTTGACTTATAGTCTAAACCTGATTTTCTGGAGAGTGGGAAAAAGAGCATGGCTATTAGGTGTCACTATGACTGAAGTGCCCTGAAAGACTAAATGTTTCAAAGATGGGGCCCTTTTCTCTGGGAAATAGGTATGTGCTGTGCAAAGAAGTCGCATTTCAGATGCTGGAGACTTAGAGAAAGGAAGCTTATTCAAACATATTACACATACTCATTGCCATCAAGTTAATTCTGACTCACAGTTATATCAAACACATTACCAACACTATATTCTGTAGAAGAGCATATGTTGCCTTTATAAAAGGTCTTTAATAATTTCTTATGAAAAGTTTCCTCTGAGAATCTTGTGAGTCTGGGAGGGAAATTGTCATAGAAATGATAGGTTGTGCAATCTTCCAGCAGAGAGGAGTTCTGGGCCACATGTTTCTGCATTAAGAACACTTTAGGCCCCTGTATTGGTTTGCATGACACTTGTAAGAATATGCCTCTTCTGGAATTGTTTCATTCACGAGGCTAGGTAAAACCCTGAACACTCTTTTTCAGGATGTCATTTCTACTGGCCCTGGTCCCATGTGATGTGTTCACTGTGTGATTTGTATGTGCAGCTTCCCTGGTCTCAGCCTCTGGCAAGAGAATGCTTGGTCAGCACTACTCCTGTCTGTCATATTGAAAGGTTTAACCTGGTGCCTCCAGCAGGCCTCATTCTCCAGTCAGGAACGGGAAGGACATATCACAGAGAACCCATGACTACCTGATGTCCTTAAACAAGTATATTCCTACCACTTGGCTAAGTGTTAGAGACCATAAGGGCAAAGAAAAGATTTTAAATAATACTTCTCAGCTTTCTCAAACACAATTGCATGTACGCTTTGTATGTTTACAGGAAACCCCACAGGACAGCTGTTTAAAAGTCTGCATCTTAGCCTGCTTCAGATAGTCAGAAGACTTGGTGCATTTGAACTGGTCATTGAGCAGAATAATTGTTCTTGGGAGAGTGTCAGGCTGGTGAGACTTTACCAGTCAGTGCTTAATTTGGCCTCCTTCATATGTGTATTATTGTAATGACCGCTTTAATGATCAGTCTACTCTTCTGGTGTATGCTTGGGGAAGGTCTGTATATATGCTATATACCAAATAGTCCTAATGATCTAATATAACAACACATTCTCTCTGCAGTTGGGGGTTTTCCATGAAACTCTTTAGCATAAGGGTTCCTGACACAAAGCTGTAAATCTGTTTCCAGATGCTGTCACATCAGACCTGTTTAGGTGCTCCTTAGCTCAGGGTCTAATGGGAACCCATAAAGCCATTTGTGTTATGACTTACACATTCTCCCCTCCTTGACACTCACACCCATACCTGCTGCCTCGGAGTCGTTATGGCCTATTACATCAGGGTAGCTGCCACATAGGCAGGGTTGCTACTTAGCCCCTATATGTAAATGTTTGCTGCAAAATGGTTTCAGTAATCATCAGCTCAGCTAGTGACGCCCTTATTAGCTGTGACTATAGCAATTCTGAGCAGCAAGCAGACAGTTGGTCAGAAATACCCTGTAATTCCCATGGCCGATTTATTTAATATACAATTGAAGGGCATTGGCAATGCATTCAGAGTCTGTTTAGCTCTTTTCTGCATTTGCTCCATTGCTGTATGCCAGTGACTATCTGTGAATACTACATTGACTTTAAAATGGAGTGAAACTGGAGAGAAAAAGAGCAGATGAATGTAGTCATAGATTCCATTTAATAATAGATCTCTGTTTATTAACCTGGATGACCTAGTTCATCAATCTTTAATGTCAAGTGATTTTAAATTGCCCTATATTAATTGTACCAGAATTTATAAACATTAATTTTTCTGGAATAATTCTGCCATTTCTCTTTGTGACAATAGAATAGGGACATACACACAAACATACGTGTGGATAACATCTAATGTACCTGTATGAATTCTGTACATTAATAACTGTATATTTTATTTATCATTTAATATATTCCTCTAAGTTGTTTGATGTTTACTTAACAAGGATCTCTTTGCTAAGGGGAAAGAATCAGAAAGATCGAAGAGGACTTCCTTTTTTCTTCATTTAAATGCTGGGGTAACATGTTAGCATAGTTACATCCTTCTTTTATTCACATTACAAGCTCCAGGTAGCACAGCTTTGTCAGAAAACATAGATCATCTAGTGACTACAATTTGTTTCAATTTGCATAAAGCATAGCTAGGATGATCTGAACCTATGCGTAAAGCTGAAGTGACAACACAAAGCTCTGACTTGTTCTTTGTGTTTAGACAAAGTTAGCTGTCATATCGCCACGCAACACCCCAGTGGCTTAAAAATGGCAAAATTATCTGCAATTATCTCCAGCCTGCAGCTAATTTTCTGGGTACGTAAAACAGAAGCTTTGAAAAGAAGCCCGCAGACGGAAGAAACCATGTGCGTTTGTACAATTTATGGAGCAGAAGTGCTGATGATGGTAGAAACGTGAGCCCTTGAGTGCTGCGATGGATTTCAGAGCCAATCAAAACTAAATTAGGAAACAAAGATTATTAAAAAGTCTTCTGTGCATGTAATTTTGGCATAATATTATGAGGTGGACATTAAATGTTTTCCTCGGAGACTTTCAACGTCATTAATGCAGCATGCCTTTAATTACAAGTAGACTCATATTACCAAAAAAATGGAGAAAATAAAGGGCTCTGTAGTGTAGTTAGCAATACCCTCATTATGTTTACTGAAATAATTAAAAGAAAGGGTATAATTTTTCTAAATAAAATGTCAGAATGTGAAATGAAAATGGATTTTCGTTAGGAAATTTACTAATGTGTGCCTGTGCTCTTGATGGGCATTTATTAAAAAACCATAACAGGTCTATTAATGATCATTCCATATTGTGCTATTTCTGGGTAGACTCTTGTTAAAGAGAGGAAAAGGAAAAACTTCAATTATTGTGAGCGTTGTGGGTAGGTTGTATTTCACTTTGTTCAAATGGAATTTGCAAGAGAACTAGAAAGCATGTGTATTTTATCATTTTAAAGGAGCCAGGGGAGTGAGTGGGCATTGATGCATCGTCTCAGTCAGGGCCATCCATGACTTAAATTCTGATCTGCCATCAGCTCGGGTTGCCATCTGGTGGCTATCAGATGGCCTTTGAAAAATTAATTTTGATAAACTCTCTTAAATTTTCAATGACAAGGAATTCATAACTATTTTCCAACAGCTAGAAATGTCATTGACTTATATAAGAACTGATCAGTCTTAAAAACACACACTGTTCACGTGAAACATATTTCAGTCAATGAGTGAAGTTTTAATAACAGTGACATCTTTCATTTGCACTGATTTATCTCTTATTTATGCCAGAGCATAATATAACCTCCCCCGACACACACACACACACACACAAAAACAAAACACCAAACTTCTTCCTTCCTTCATTATTTACATTTCATTGTTTTAATTTGTTATTTAGACTTAGTCTCTTGAAAAGTTTAATTCTTGTTTGTAATGATTTAAGTTTCAAAGCAATCAGTCTTTCTGAGAAGTCTGCAATCGCTCCTTCTTACCATTGTGGCAAATCTAAAAATCTTTTACTTGAATTTTAAATCTGAGTGTATTTCTCACTCATAGGAGTGGCACTGCCAACCCAAAGATAAGCCTCTTTCAGGTGGTTGGAATCTACCAAGTGCTCCATGGGAGAAAGATGGACAGTGTCCTCTAGGGTGATGTACAGGGTCCAAAAACCCATTCGAGTTAGCTACGAGCCAGTTCTGACTTGATAGCCATGAGGTTTAAGAAGGACTCCATGACATCTCTATGGAACTATGGCTGGCAGCCTGGGAAGCTTCATGGGCATAACCTGCTTGTTTTATGGGAGAGGATTTGAGAGGAAACTGGTGAAGATTA